CGAAAGAGAAGACGGAAGGAAGGAAGAAAAATTAGTAAAAAAAAACTGTTAAAAAGTAGTTCAATTTACGGAATATGTTGTTTTTATACCCTCAGCCATATGGCTACAGAGGGTATATATCATTTTATTCGGACATAAGGTTTTGAATAGTTTTTTTTTCGATAAATATTTTTTCCCTAAAAATTAAATAACGAAATTCAAAGAGACAATTTCTTGTTATTCTAGGACGATAACCAACTTCCAACATATATAAATGTTTGTAATTTCTCTAGAAATACTCAATTTCTGTAGGGGTTTCATGGTGCGTATACATGTTGTTAGAACGTATACGCTCCGTAGCGATTCAGAATTGGTTTTCTCTCAATTTATGTCATCAGAAATATTTTGAATTGATGGGATTCAATGATACACATATTCAAACTCTCAATTTTAGTCAAATTCAGACTATATTGATATATATCTTCGATATATATCATCGAACTTTTAATGCCTGCAATATGTTGTCTCAGGTTCAGTGGGGAGATGGTTCAACGAATATTCAGGTTCAGGTTTTGAACTGGACATTACTTTTGGGGATGAAAGCCCCAAAGCATATCAAATCCAGTAAGGAAAAATCAAAAGTGGGGCGGGGACGACTATATGATAACCTACACCACTATGCGAATTTAGTAGAGCTCCCGTGACGAAAAAGTTTGTATTGAGAATTTATGTGAAGTAGGTTACACCAACTACGAACCAAATAACATTGCCGTATAGTGCATGATATGACTTCGATAAGGATTATATAAAAACATATTTATTGGAGCAATAGATATGCCCAAACGAGTTTCATCAAATGGAAAAAAATCGGTTAAATATGAAAAGCTCTATTCAATTTGGGCTGGTATTACATATATGGTGAACAATAACCGTAAAATCGGATGAAGATGTATATCGAAGGTATATATACAAATCTGTACCAATCTCGATAAAATTTGGCAGAGGTATTTTCGAACTGCATCTGATGTCCGGTATTAAATATCATGTGCATATTCTGCATGTGAGGGATCGGATAAAACATATACATGGGAGCTATAGCTTTATCTGAACCAATTTTCACAAAAATTTGATATACTTGCTTCTAAGCTGGATTCCGTCGGAAGTGCCAAAATTCAGACCATTTTGGATGATATTAGCCATTTGGTGCACAAAAAAACCTGAAATCGGATTAAGATATATATGGGAGCTACATTCAAATCTTAACCGATTTTGACAAAATATGAAACACCTATTTCTCAGCTGTATCTGATATCTGGTACCAACGATTATTGTCGTGAAGTGAATATTACGCATGTGAAGGACTTAAACTCCAAATCGGATAAAACATATATATGGGAGCTATAGCTATATCTGAAATGATTTACACCAAATTTGAAGTACTGATTTCTACGATGAATTCAGTCGGAAGTGCCAAAATTCAGTCCATTTGAGCTGATATTAGCCATTTGGTGCACGAAAAACCTGAAATCGGATTAAGATATATATGGGAGCTATATTCAAATCCCAACCGATCTTGACAAAATTTGAAACACTTATTTCTGAGCTGTGTCTGATATCTGGTAGCAAAGATTATTGTTCTGGAGTGTATATTACGCATGTGAGGGAAATAAACCCCAAATCTGATAAGCTATAGCTACATCTGAAATAATTTACACCAAATTTGAAGTACTGATTTCTAGGATGAATTCAGTCGGAATTGCCAAAATTCTGTCCATTTGAGCTGATATTAGTCGTTTGGTGCACAAAAACTGATATCGTAAATATAATTCTTCTGGAGTGCATATTACACATGTGAAGGACTTTAGCATCAAATCGGATGAAACATATATATGGGAGCTATAGATATATTTGAACCAAAATTGATATACTTGCTTCTAGGCTGAATTCCATCGGAAGTGCCAAAATTCAGTCCAGTTGAGTCGATATCAGCCGTTTGGTGCACAATAAACGTGAAATCGGTCGAAGATACATATGGGAGCAATAGCTCTATCTGAACCGATTTTCTCCAAATTTTATGTACTTGCTTCTAGACTGAATTCGGTCAGGTGTACCAAAATTCAGGTCATTTGGACTAATATTGGTCATTTGGTGCACAATTAACCCGTAATCGGTTGAAGATATATATGTGAGCTATATCTAAATTTGAACCGATTTTCACCAATTTCTACAGGGTTCGGCCTTGGGCCAAACAAATATTGTTTTGCAAAATTTCATATCAATCGGCGACCTGCATTTTGTTCACAAAAATACATGGAGAGACGGAAGGACTGACATGCATAAAGCAACTCAGAAAGTGATTCGATGAAGATCCTCAAAAGTAACTATGGGTCTACCTCGCTTTATCCTCCATGTTACAAACAAATACACAAAGACATAATACCCTTACCACATGTGATGTAGGGCATAAACGAACTAATGAGTTATGGGTTGATGAGTTTTTTTTAGCTTGTAGCTCTTTAGTATACCGATCATCATATTTACAGGGGGATGGTTTTTGACCAGAATATAACCTTATACTTTTTTGGAGTTAATACAAAATATTTAGGGGATGATATGAACCCAAAACTGAAGTATTTCCTGATTTTGCATTCGCTCTACATATCTATATTATAAACCAATTGACTCGGAAATTGAAATGCATCAAAAATTTCAATTTAAAATAGATTTCCCAATATTCTGTAAAAAATTATTCTAAATCTACAGAAACTTTTCACACTTATAGTCTTAAATTTTGTTGACGACACTACCTATTTAATATACCTTGACGTTATATTTGTTTGTACACTAGTGCGTATAACCACTGGAATAACTCATACGCCAGTATGAATAACTCATAAGCGCTCATAAGCGCTCATAAAGTTCTATTGAGAGAATAGAGCAATTTGCAATCAATGCTGACGAGAAATAAAAAATACAACAAGTTTTTAAAGTTGTTTGAAGAAATAGTAAAGTTTAGTAAACAGTTAATGTTCGGTTAATTAAATATATTTCGACTCATGTCATTACTGTTCAAGTGAAACAATATTGTCCACTTTGGACAATATTGGACCTAAATAAATATAATATAAATATTGCCACGTGCACGGGTACTACTTTGACTTTATATGAGATATGTGATAATTTTTAGAAAATTTTAAATATTCTATTTTAATACTTCATCTACTACAGATATAAATATTTGTATCAGCAAACTTACAAGAAAATCGAACATTTATGTAAAATTTTATGGGAAATCACAAATTCGATACTCATCTCAGGTTTCTTGTTGAGAAAAATATTTAGATATCGTAAGTCGCCTTTGTGGGTGAAATACTAGAAGAGGTTGGCAGATATCTATAATCTTCACATCCCATCTTGTTTTAGTAAAAATATTAGCATGTGTGAAATTTGAAGAGTGTTGAAAGCTAATTTTGCTTTCTTTGATCGTTTTGTGCTTCATAATGATGAAACCTATGGGCAGGTAGCAAAAGAAATGGATCGATCTCTACCGACTTTATAACAGATCTTGTGTTGATGGAAATATCGAGATATACCAAATCTTGAATGGAATCGGATGTTAATTTCGCTTTTTATGAGTTTCATGGAATTCATTTAATGGGAGAGGTACCAGAAGAAGTGGACATATATATCCCATCTTCACGACAAATCTTTTGTTAGTGGAAATAATGGGATGTGTAAAATATAAAGAGAATCGGTTTCTTATTTCGGATTTTATGAGCGTTTTGGTTATTCAAAACGTCGACCCTTTGTGGGGCAGGTACCAGAAGGAATGGTCCGATCTCTGCCACCTTTACATTTGATCTTGTGCTGATAGAAGTATTGAGATGTGCCGAGTCTGAATGGAAGCGGATTTTAAGTTCGGGTTTTATGATATGAGAATATCCAAAATGTTGACCCTTTGTGAGGGAGGTACCTGAAGGAGTGGGCCGATATATTCCACCTCTACACCAGACCTTGTATAATTAGAAGACAATCGGACTCTCACATCACATTTTATAAGAGTTATAATTATTTAAAATTGTAACCCTTTGTTGTCCGTGTTTGAAATGTGGCCTTCCTATTATAAAAGTACGGAATTTTGGCACAATTTCATACTTTTCGTAACAATAAAGACCACATTTCAAAAACAGACAACATCAGTAATGTAAATATCAAATTTCAGAATTTTATCTCTATCCCTTCACCTAATACCAAATGTATTACCATTTGGTACTTTTCGTACAATTATAGTAAACATTTCCAAAACCACCTCTATATGTGGAGGCTAGACAGCGACCCTAATACCATATTCCAGATTTCTAGAACACTATAGCTCCTTTCCTTCACCCAAAATGGAATTTTACCAAATTTAGTACCACTTAGTACAGTTCGCATACCTAGCACACATTTCAATATCAAACTTTCATATATCAAACTTACTTTCAAACCTTGGCATATGGCACCATTTTCGAGATTTAGTACCTTTTAAGAACTTTTCGTAACCCTAAAGTTCGAATATCCAAAAACCCTTTGGTACGGCTATCCTGCACTGCATCAGTGACTCTAATTCCAAATTTCCAAAAATTCTAGATCAGTTTGTTTGTCCAATACGAAGTCTTCATTTTTTAGAACATTTTAGTACCTTTCGAATTCTTTCAATTAAGAATTTCCCAAAACCCAGCCTCATCATAATTTACAAATTCTAACTTCAGCCGTTTCGTCTCGTCGTTAATTCTCGGTCAGTCAGTCAGTAAGTCCGTTATTTCACTACTCCTTTATCTTCAAAAAGATGGAACCTTTATAGAATATTTCTATTTTATATTCACCTTGAATAAGAATTGAGTTCCTCCAGGGCGTATAACTACTGTCACAACGTATACACCACTCAGTCTCATTGACTTTATTAAAATATTTTCTCTGTGTGTTTTCTTTCAATATTTTTTTTATTTTATTAACTTTTAATTTTTTTGCTATCTTTTCAGGGGGATGGGACCTAAACGCCGTTTATCTGTTGCTGAGCGACAGCAACGTTCAAGTACGGTAGCCAGTACGACAGCAGCAGCGGCGGCATCAGCAACAACAGCTTCGGCCAAAAAACAACGTCCCGCCACCGGCAGTGCCAGTCAATCGCCAGCTTCACGTAAACCTTCGGCCAAAACTGGAAACACTGCAGCTCCAGCTTCCACCTCGGCGGCTGGGACACCCAACAAAAAGGATAACACAAAAACTGTGTCACCCTCCAAAAAGAATCCAAAAACTGGCAGTGGGAAAGATAAAACCGATCCAGAGCCGGTAACATCATCGCCCAGCAAAGACGCTTCCAAGCTACACGAACGTTCGAAGAGTAAAGAAAAACCCAAAGGGGAAGAAGAGAAAAAGAGCACAACGCGAGCTTCGTCCAGAGAGAATGTCAAGAAGACATCGACGGAGAATAATGAAACCCATCCACTCAAGTCACAAAAAGAGGAACTAAAAAAACAATTGGAAAAAGACAAAGAAGATTCGCGCAAAGAAGGCCCTCAGAGTTCCAATTCCAGTACCATAAGTTCCGTGGAGTCCTCCGGCAAGAGTCAGGACAAAAAGGATGGCAAACACAAGGCCATTAGTAAAATGCTTAAGAACTTAGATATAAAAATAAGTGGATTTGATAATATCCTGCCCAAGGAACAAAATATCCAGGAGCTGGGTATGAAATCGTCGATATCGGAAAATGTCAAAACAAAGTCACGGGCGGCAGCTGTCAAAGTTATAGCCACCTTGAGTAACAATAACAAACCGCTGAAGAGGCCTAAGGTGAGTGAGGAGGACAGGAGGAGAGCACAAAGTTCGAAAGTAAGTGAAAAGGCGAAGGCAGGTGGTAAAGATAGCCAGGTGGAGAAGAGTGGGATACAAACGTCTAAAGGAGAGGAGAAAAAAGAGGAGGAGGAAGGTAAAGCGGAGCAGCAATTGGCGGGTGAAAAGAAAAAGGCCAGAATGGAAAGCAATCCAAAGCAGAAAAAAGTGACAATAGCTAAAGGCAAGGAAGAGAAATGTAAGGAAGTGGAGGATAAGCAGGAGTTAGAAGAGCTGCCTAAAGATGAGAGCAAAAAAGTTGAAGAAAAGGAGACAAAGCAAGAAGCTGTTCAAAGCAAGGAAATCAATGAGTCCTCGGAAGTAAATAAAGATCAGAAATGTGAAAAGGAAAGCAGGAAAATCGAAGAGAAGGAAAACGTGGAGAAGGATAAAGAAGAAATCAAAGAAGAGGAAACAATAAAGACGACTAAGGAAGAATCTCAAGAATCAAAGGTGGCTACACCCCAAAAACGAAAATCTCCAAAACACAAAATACCGGAGAAGGGGGAAACTCCGGAAAAGGAAACCAAGGAAATACTCGAAAAGGAAGAAGAGAAAACTAAAATAGATGATAAGGTTAAAGAGGATGCCAAGGCCGAAGCTACCCCAGTGGAAGAAGAAAAATCAAAAACTCCCAGTAAATCTCCCAAAAAATCTCCCAGTGGTTCCAATAAGCCCCCAGAGACCCTGGAGACATCCGAAGAGCTGAACAAAACAAAGTGCAATAAATTAGAAGAATTCTATGAAGAAGAAAAGGAAGAAATACTCAAGGTGACCATAGACTCAAATACGGAAGAGGTGCAAATGGAAATCGAGGAGATTGCCGTTCAGAAGTCAGAACAAGGGGATAACTCCAACTCCAATGGGAAGGAACAACAGCAATCTAAGGAAGACTCGGAAACTCCATCAAAAGAGACAACAACAGAATCAGCTCCAAAGGAAGTCGGTAAAACTCTGAGTTCTGACAAACCTCCCAAGGTGTTGAAGACCCAACCTCCCAAAATAGCCAACATCAAGCAGAGGCTACAACCCAAATACAAGGTAAATCCCATTAAACCCAAAATACCCAAACCGGTTACCAAGAAATCTCAGTACTCGAAAATCATGGCGGCCAAGGCTAAGACGGAAAACAAGGAAGCCACGGCCAAAGATGATGATATCTATGCCTTTAAGTCCGGCTCGGAGGATGAGGAGAACATACGCATGGAATTGCCCACACTTAAGAATCTTTTGGAATTCTCGGAGGAAGAAAAGAAGACCCAGAAGAAATCTACACCTAAAAAAGAGCCGGCAAAGTTCTCCTCACTCAAAGAAAAGGTCAAAAAGGATGAGGAGAAGGAGGAAAACAAAGAGGAGGAGAAAGAGGTGGAAAAAGATCCTGAAACGAAAGAGGAGGGTAAGGAGGACCTTGCCAAAGATGACTTGGAAGTTAAAGAGGAGAATGAAGAGGATAACAAGGAAGAAGAAAATGAGGCAGAAGAAAACGCAGAGGAAGAAGAAGAAAAGAAAGTGGCAAATAAAAATCCACCCAAAAAGGAATTAACCAAAAAGAAAACCCTTGCCCTGAACAAAAAGCTAATGTCCGCCAAGGTCAAAAATCTGCAAAAGCAAAAGAACCTGAAAGCTGGCAGGCCGGCAAAATCGAAACTGGGTAAAAAATTGGAGAAACCAGCCAAGAAAGTCGGTAAGAAATCTAATGGAGATGAAGAAGAAACGGCGGAAAGTAGTGACTCCGAGGATGATAAAAATCTGATTGTCTTTAGCCAAAAAAGGCATCGCATGGCCTCTTTGAATGCCCTGGCCAAGGTCCAGTGTCTCTATGAAAATGAATCTCGCACAGCCTATGAATTGGGTCTGTCCAAGGCCACATTAATGCCGCCAAAGATACGTACCCTGGACAACAGTGATGAGGAGAAGGACAAGGATAAGAAACAGGAGGATACTCCCACCCCGAAACAAAAGGAAAAGGATACAGAAAAGGACAAGGAAAAAGAGAAACCCAAGGACCCCCCAACTAGCTCCACAAAATCGGAGGACAAACCCAAAACCAAGAAGGAGAAAAAGTCCGAAGACCCTTTGAAAATTGAAGATGCCGCCAAGGTGGAAAAGGAACCTACAGAACCCATTGAAGAACCTGTGGGAGAGCTAAAGAGAGAGCAACGCAATGATGCCGGAGGAAGAGGCTTTGGCAAATACTGGGAATTTGATAGTGACAGTGAACTGGACGAAATCGAGCAAACGAGACTCAAAAAGAAAAAGCTGCAAAAGCGGCTGCAAGCCAAGAAAGAAAAGGAAATGGAAAAGCAACTCAAGGCAAAAGCCAAGGGAGAAGGTGAATCCAAGGAATCGGAAACACCCATTAAAGTCAAACGGAAGTATACAAAAATCAAGAAACCCCTTAAGAAAATGGTCAAACTTAGCACCGGTAGTTCGGCGGAGGAGGGTAATTCTGAATCTTCGGATAAGGAAGAAGGCGGGGATAAAGAAAAGCCCGCAAAACTCAAGCTACCCGAGGCCAAGAAACCTCCGAAGAAACGAAAGCGGATTTTCAAAGAGGAACTCATTGGGGACTATAAGGGTATATTGGCCCGCAAGCGCATGGCCAGTTTAAATGCCAGTGCCATTGTGGCAGCCACCTATGAAGTGGAACGACATTTGGATAGGAATTTGGGACAGCTCAGTGGCTATGAGACCTATGAAGATGAACAGAAGACGCCGAGTAAAAAGTCCAAGGAGGCCAAGGGTAGGGAAGGCAAGGCGGGCAAAACGGCGGGTAATGTCAGTGCCTCGGCCACAGGTGCGGCAACAGCATCACCCAGTAAGACAGCCACTCCCGATGTCACAAGGGAGGCAACTTTAACTGCAGAAGCCAACCCCAGTTCGGTGGTATCCCGAAGTACTCCCACAATCAAAGAGACAACAACAAGCACATCTATGGAACCTACAACAACTAGCAGCAATACCACGTCCACGACCACCACCACAACCCCCTCTCCTGTTTCAACAACTCCCTTGAAAACCTCTACTCCTGCTGCCACTGAAACAAAACCCTCCCAAGCCACTCCCAACACACCCACGAAGCTGGAAAAACAACCCACAAATATCTGTGAGGAAAGCAATGATTCCAAGTATTCCAAGGATACCAAAGAAACTAATACAGATACAACTACCACCACCACCTCGAGTTCGTCGGGTAGCAGTACCACAACGAGTAGCACAAAAGAGGCCAAGGATTCAAGTCGTCCCACCTCATCGAGTGTGGTCATTGTCCAGGATACAGATGTCACCATCACTGGGGTCTATGTCAATTCAAGTTCAGGTGCTGGTCAGGAGGCCTATTGTAAGATGCAATATCGTGTTCAGTCTAGCGTTACGGAGGAGCGTTTGCTGAGGCCCGGTTCAACGGAGCCACCGCCGAAGTCTTATACGCCGTTGAGTGCTCTGTCGAGTATGCTGCCTCCCGGTGCTGCCGGCAGTGGGGCTAGTGAAGGTGAGTACATTTTTGTGTTATCCCTATTGTCATAGTCCTTGAAAGAAATTTCTTAAAAAATCACCACAGAGAGTCCTTCAAATTTGTTTTAAGAAATTCACTTTTTTTGCTCTAAAAGTCCTCGAATTTTTTTTAGAAAAATCCCTGTAAAAGGCCCTCGAAAACCCTGCTTTAAAAATCCACGTTTATGGCCTTGAAAAAATCTTCTTTAAAAAATCTACTGTAGGGCCTTGAGAAAATCTTCTTTAAAACTCCACGTTTATGGCCTTGAGAAAATCTTCTTTAAAAATCCACGTTTATGGCCTTAAAAAATCTTCTTTAAAAAATCTACTGTAGGGCCTTGAGAAAATCTTCTTTAAAACTCCACGTTTATGGCCTTGAGAAAATCTTCTTTAAAAATCCACGTTTATGGCCTAGAGAGTCCTTGAGAAAATCTTCTTTTAAAATCCACGTTTATGGCCTAAAGAGTCCTTGAGAAAATCTTCTTTTAAAATCCACGTTTATGGCCTAGAGAGTCCTTGAGAAAATCTTCCTTAAAAAATCCACGTTTATGGCCTAGAGAGTCCTTGAGAAAATCTTCTTTAAAAAATCCACGTTTATGGCCTAGGGAGTCCTTGAGAAAATCTTATTTAGAAAATCCACGTATATGGCCTAAAGTCCTTAAAAAAATCTTCTTTAAAAATCCACGTTTATGGCCTAGAAGTCCTCGAAAAATCCTCTTTAAAAATCCACGTTTATGGCCTAGAGAGTCATTGAGAAAATCTTCTTTAAAAATCCACGTTTATGGCCTAGAGAATCCTTGAGAAAATCTTCTTTAAAAAATCTACATTTATGGCCTAGAAACCCTTGAGCAAATCTTCTTTAAAAAACCCACATTTATGGCCTAGAGAGTCTTTGAGAAAATCTTCTTTAAGAATCCATGTTTATGGCCTAGAGAGTCCTTGAGAAAATCTTCTTTAAAAAATCCACGTTTATTGCCTAGAGAGTCCTTGAGAAAATCATCTTTATAAAATCCACATTTATGGCCTAGAGAGTCCTTGAGAAAATCTTTAAAAAATCCACGTTTATGGCCTAGAGAGTCCTTGAGAAAATCTTTAAAAATCCACGTTTATGGCCTAGAGAGTCCTTGAGAAAATCTTTTTTAAAAATCCACGTTTATGGCCTAGAGAGTCCTTGAAGAAATCTTCTTTAAAAATCCACGTTTATGGCTTAGAGAGTCCCTGAGAAAATCTTTAAAAAATCCACGTTTATGGCTTAGAGAGTACTTGAGAATATCTTCCTTAAAAATCCACGTTTATGGCCTAGGAGTCTTTGAGAAAATCTTTAAAAAATCCACGTTTATGGCTTAGAGAGTACTTGAGAATATCTTCCTTAAAAATCCACAATTGTGGCCTAATAGTCCCTAAGAAAATCTTCCTTAAAAATCCACAATTGTGGCCTAAGAGTCCTTAAGAAAATATTTAATAATCCACGTTTATGTCCTAGAGAGTCCTTGAGAAAATCTTCTTTAAATAATCCACGTTTATGTCCTAGAGGGTCCATGAGAAAATCTTCTTTAAAAAATCCACGTTTATGACCTAAAGAGTCCTTGAGAAAATCTTCTTTAAATAATCCACGTTTATGGGCTAAGAGTCCTTGAGAAAATCTTCTTTAAAAAATCCACGTTTATGACCTAAAGAGTCCTTGAGAAAATCTTCTTTAAAAAATCCACGTTTATGGGCTTAGAGTCCTTGAGAAAATCTTCTTTAAAAAATCCTCGTTTATGACCTAAAGAGTCCTTGAGAAAATCTTCTTTAAAAAATCCACGTTTATGGCCTAGCGAGTCCGTTTATTATGTTTAGAGAGTCCTTGAAAAAATCCTCTTTAAAAAATCCACTTTTATGAGCTAGAGAGTCCTTGAAAAAATCTTCGTAAAAAATCCACGTTTATTGCCAATAGAGTCCTTGGAAATTCTCTTTAAAAATACCCTAGATTATTTGTTTACTTACCATTATCCTTCATATCTTCATTCCAGGCACTCCAATTGTCTCACCTCCGCCCACAACTGCCACCTCGCAGGCAACCTCGGCCTCATCACTGTCAGAGACACTGAATGCCGCCGCCGGCCTCTACAACCCCGCCGATTTAGGCATTCACACTGAACCCATGGAACATCATGGTCCACCGCCTCCTTCCTATGCGGCGGCAGCAGCAGCTGCAGCTGCTGCCTATCATGCACATCATATGTCACCACATGGCGCTGGCGGGGTGCATCATCAGCATCAATATGCCCATGTGCATGCCCATCATCAGTATCAACAGGCCGGTGCCGAACATCATGGTATGCCACCGCCGCCTCATCACTATGCCGCGGGTCCTCCGCCACCATCACATTATGGGCCGCCACCACCGGGTCATTGTGATCCTGGCTCACCGCCGCCGACATATCGTGCCAGTAGTGGATATCCGAGTAGTGCAACAGGTGTTGCACCAGCGGCACCACCTCCTTCAAGCCAGCCCCCATTGTCGGCTGGCTTGGGTGGCAGTGCATTCTGTTCCACAAACATCCATCATCAGCAGCAGTCACAGCAGCATCAACAACAACAACATCAGCAGGCACAAGCAGCAGCAGCAGCACAACAGCAGTCGGGATCTCAGGGCGCAGCAAATGAAACAAGTGGTGAGTAGGAATTTGAAAAATTGCCTAAACTTTTATGAATTATCTACAGTAGTCCGGAAAACTGTTATCCCTTATTTTGGTCAGATTTTTGATACAGCAGTGGTCAGTCAGTAGGCCCACCCTGATTCTTATATTAGACCTACCACACCTCCTTGTCCGCTATACTGGTATATCCTTAATTGGAATAATGAATAAGTAAACCCCTAAGAAAACTGTTTTCCGGTTCATCCCTCCTTATCCTTCGAAACTTTCCCTTTGCTTAGTGTCTTTATTATATCTCCTTAAAATTCTCTCCCTCCTCTCCGCCTAGTTATTCTTGTTCCTTCTTACATAATGAATTAATTATGAACTACCACTTAATTGATGTATTACCTCTGTGACACTTGAGACTCCTCAGGTCCTTTGGAAAATCTACAAATTAAATGCATTTTAATAATCCTTATCGGTGTCCTGTATAATTGACATCTTGAAGGTCCTGCAACTTGGTGAGGATGTGTAAGAAGTTGTAATTTTGAGTGACATACTCATCAGTATGGGGGTGGGGTAACTTGTTTGACCACTTGTTGCGGTTGTGTGAACTGGTATGAGTAGAATGTGCCAACTAAGGCCTGTTTATGTGGTTGTCTGGACTATCAACGAAAATAAGGATATTTACAAAAATGTGTCTTATTTTATGACCTGTTCCTATATCCTTCTGTGCGGGAGGTACAAGAAGAGTTCTAAAATATATAATTGTTACAATTTGGTATTGGATGAACAGATAGTGCTTGAAATCTGAATTTTTGATATTAGCATTGTTGTTCATGTGAAGCCTGGACATATGGAGATGGTTTCGGAAATGTGTGCTATAATTGTACGAAAAGTACTAAATGGTACTTAACTTGGTATTGCGTAAAGGAATAGGACTGGAATTCTGAAATTTGATATTGAGAATTACATATTTAGTAATTGGAACTAGAGTCTGTGATAGAAAATTGTCTATGCAGGTCCAGGTCTTCGTATAGGCTCCATATATCAGTACCTCCCTATGTTCGATATTTTGACGATTTTAGGTACAATACTCACCGAAACCGACGTTCGTAATGGATGCTATAGCCTGTGACAGAAAAATGTCTATGCTGGTCCAGGTCTTCGCACAGCTCCGATATAACGCTACCTCCCTATATACGACATTTTGACGATTTTAGCTACATTATTCACCGTTTATTTCAAGATTCGAATTTGAATATGGTAATGGCTTATGACAAACAATGCCTATATAGACCCACGTCGTATAGACCCCAATAAAACGGCAATATTCGGTATTTTTAAGATTTTAACAGAACTTTTAACGGATTTTATTTTTTGAAAATTTCTAAATTCGTTGCAAATAGTGGAGGGTATTCAAAGTTCGGCCCGGTCGAACTTACTGCTTTTTAACTTGTTAATTTATACAATTTTCTCTCTATATCTGTCTCTTTCTCCATGTAATATTTCTCTATCTCCTCTAAAATTAATTTTCTATTAAAATTCCCTATTTTCCTCCTTTGTTCATTTAAAAAAATTTGCCATTGAAATCATTTAATTTTTTAATAAATCCTTTTTAAAAACTAACTACCCCTCCCCCATCCCCATCCCCAGTAGACAAAGGAAAATATTTGAAATAATTCAAACCAAGGAAAAGCCTTTTCGATAAGTTTTCTCTACTAAATGCCACAACGGATGGCAGAGGAATGATTTTGCATCATTTGGTGCTGCAAGGAGAAAACTTTTCATTCATTCATTCTTCTTTGAGAGAAAAAAAGAAAATAAAAAGACAACGAAGAAGATCTTTTATAAAATAAATAAAGAATTTTTAATATGTTGGATGAGTGTGTGTTAGTAGAGAGAGTGTGTGTGTGAGAGTGTGCCTTGTGTTTTTACAAAGTATTGAAATAATAAAAGTTTCTTCATTTCATTGCTTGAATTCAATAATTCTTTGCTCCTACCCCGTCACCATCCACCCCCAATAAAATTAACTTTGGTCCTAGGATTCCAGCCATAAGTTAAACCCAAACTCAAGCACACATATCTGTATCTTTGACTTCTTTTGGTTTTCTTTCGATTCTCTAGGGATAAGTTGTGGAAAAACTAAAATTGCCATCATTAAATGAAGTATAAAGGTTCAAGTCACAGTCAATTATAACGACTCTACTTTAAGATGAGCAGACGAGCAAGAGAGAGAGAGAGAGAGGGAGAGAGAAACTTTGAACTCTTGATTATCAAATAATTCAATTGAACTTTTCTTTGGGGACCAGGAGAGCAGATTGGGGGGAATGAAGAATAGTGGTCAAGAAATCATAACTTGGTATTATTTTAACTTTTGTTTTTCTTGCTGTTGGAATAATGAATAGTTGTGGAATTTTAAATGAGTTCGAAGTTGTTTAATGAAGGAAATTTTTGAGAAACTGTTATTAATTCCAGCAAACGTGTGTGTAAAAATTTAGAATTGAAACTGCCCAAGAGAATATTGTCGGGATAACTTTAAAATTAATTACAAAATATTGACCCATATGGACCTTCACATCACCAAACGTGGATTTTTTAAATAATTTTTTTCAAGGAAATTCACATCATCACATTTTTCAAGGACCTTTAGTTTAAAAGGACATTTTTTAAAGAATTTTTTTTTCAAGGGACTTTAGTTTAAAAGGACATTTTTAAAGAATTTTATTTCAAGGACCTTTAGTTCATCAAACGTGGATTTTTTAAATAACTATTTTCAAGGACCTCTAGTTCATCAAACGTGGATTTTTAAATAATTTTATTTCAAGGACCTTTGGTTCATCAAACGTGGATTTTTTAAAAAAAAATTTTCAAGGACCTTTAGTTAATCAAACGTGGTTTTTTTAAGGAATTTTTTCCAAGGACCTTTAGTTCATCAAACGTGGATTTTTTAAAGAATTTTATTTCAAGGACTTTTGGTTCATCAAAAGTGGATTTTTTAAAGAATTTTATTTCAAGGACCTTTAGTTCATCAAACGTAGATTTTTCAACGAATTTTATTTCAAGGACTTTTGGTTCATTAAACGTGGATTTTTTAAAGAATTTTATTTCAAGGACCTTTAGTTCATCAAACGTGGATTTTTCAAAGAATTTTTTTCCAAGGACCTTTAGTTCATCAAACGTGGATTTTTTAAATTATTTTATTTCAAGGACTTTTAGTTCATCAAACGTGGATTTTTTAAAGAATTTTATTTCAAGGACCTTTAGTTCATCAAACGTGGATTTTTTAAAGAATTTTATTTCAAGGACCTTTAGTTCATCAATTGTGGATTTTTAAAGAATTTTATTTCAAGGACCTTTAGTTCATCAAACGTGAATTTTTTAAAGAATTTTTTTAAGGACCTTTAGTTCATCAAACGTGGAATTTTTAAAGAATTTTATTTCAAGGACCTTTAGTTCATCAATCGTGGATTTTTTAAAGAATTTTATTTCAAGGACCTTTAGTTCATCAATCGTGGATTTTTTAAAGAATTTTATTTCAAGGACCTTTGGTTCATCAATCGTGAATTTTTTAAAGAATTTTAAATCAAGGACCTTTAGTTTAAAAGGACATTTTTAAAGAATTTTATTTCAAGGACCTTTGGTTCATCAAACGTGGATTTTTTAAAGAATTTTTTTTCAAGGACCTTTATTTTAAAAGGACATTTTTTAAAGATTTTTTTCAAGGATATTTTTTTAAGAATTTTTTTTCAAGGATCTTTAGTTCATAAAACGTGTTTTTTTTTTAAATAATTATTTTCAAGGACCTCTAGTTCATCAAACGTGGATTTTTTAAATAATTTATTTCAAGGACCTTTAGTTCATCGAACGTAGATTTTTCAAAGAATTTTTTCCAAGGATCATTAGTTCATCAAACGTGGATTTTTTAAATAATTTATTTCAAGGACCTTTAGTTCATCGAACGTAGATTTTTCAAAGAATTTTTTCCAAGGATCATTAGTTCATCAAACGTGGATTTTTTAAATAATTTATTTCAAGGACCTTTAGTTCATCGAACGTAGATTTTTCAAAGAATTTTTTCCAAGGATCATTAGTTCATCAAACGTGGATTTTTTAAATAATTTATTTCAAGGACCTTTAGTTCATCGAACGTAGATTTTTCAAAGAATTTTTTCCAAGGATCATTAGTTCATCAAACGTGGATTTTTTAAATAATTTTTTTAAAGACTTCCAGTTTTTACTTTTTTAAGGACCTTTAGTTCATTAAACGAGGATTTTTTAAATAATTTTTTCAAGGGGCTTTGGTTCAGCAAACGTGGATTTGTGTCTGCCGGACTATTTCCAATGAAGGGTATGAAGTTAGGATTAGGATTGCATTTAAGCCTTTTCTCGAAATATGTATTTATTTTTTGTTCCGGTACTTTTTGGTGCCTGCCAAGGTTTCCGAGGGTGTCCTCTTCCAGGAAAGACCAATCTGTCGCTTTTCCGACAGATGTATTGAAATTGTTGATTATTATTGAAATTGTTGACCCTCTTTGGAGTAGGTTTCGAAGGAATGGGCGAATATTGGCCATTTCGTATCGGACCTAAATAAATATGATTTTAATATTGCGATGAGCCAGGCTTGGACTCTATATTGGTTACTTCCTTTATTTTATATGTGATAATTTTTGATAAAATATTAAAATGAGCGTGACGTACGAGATAAAGTCGACCGAAGTATTCGATTTTCATACTTCATCTAATACAGATAAAAAAATATTGTTATGGGCAAAATTATAAGAAAATCGAACCAATTTTATGTGAAATCTTAACTCCATATTCGCCTCAGGTTTCTGACAAAGAGAGATATATTTAGCTATAGCAATTTGTAAAGAATCGCTGACTTGTTTCGCAAGTTATGACAGATAAGAGTATTGAAAATTGTGACCCTTTGTGAGTGAGGTAGCAGAATTCGAACGTTAAAATGAGCACCAGCCAGCCAGACAAACAGACGAACGGACGTCGCTAGATAGATTTCAAATGTCCTGAAACGGATTTGGTC